CCTCTCTCACTCTCCCTCCCTCTCTCTTACACACACAAAATCTCCCTGTCTGTCTGTCTGTGTCTCTGTGTGTGTTGTCATGTTCGCTATACACAACTCTACAGAAAAGGCATGTGTCTGTGTGTGTCTGACTGTGCGTCTGACTACGTATCTGTCTGTGTCTTCCTGTATATGTCTGTCTCTCTGTGTCAGTCTCACTATTTGACTGTGTGTTTTGTTCTTGAAACACAACCTCAACCCCTTTCCACCCACCCACCCCCGCTGTCCGTCCTCCCATCTATTTATAGACCACCCTTGCACGAACATCCTCGTACCTGGAAAAAGCAAAAGCTTCAAACCCTCTCAAATATTGTTATTCTTTCGTGCAAGCATCGATCTCTTGCGCACTTCAGTCGCCTCGCTGCTGTGTCCCCAGAGAAGCTTGTCACTGCACCCGAGGACCAGATTCTTCATCATCCTTGCTGGGATGCTATGGTAATCTTCACATGAACCTGGACCAAATTCCCTACCAAGGGACCAGATCAGTGCACAGCATGAACCAATGGGAGGCACTGGAACGCGTGGGGACCACATTGCTTTTGAGAACCTACCTGGTCCCAATGGAGGACGTACCTGGTCCCAATGGAGGACCAGGTTTGCACCACAAGGTGGCTCGGCACGGGGAGGTCCAGCGCACAAGCTCTCCAAGTAGGGCCATGACTGAGGGCACACTCGCACTAGGACTTTCCAAATGCATCTGGTAATAACGACGACCAGATTCATTGGACAAAGGACAGTTCGAAATAGGCCGTAAGTCGATGGGAATAGCTTCTTAAACCATTACTGCCCACAGCGAATGCCCTTGCACTCAAGGAGGTCGTGTTTTGGATCTATCCGCTTGTCAGGCCCTGCCTGCATCCAGTTCGATTCGGTCAAAAACCACCCGGTTCTTGTACCCGTATTTAGTGCAACTTCCAGTCTAGATACCGCGATAAGGACCAGGCGTCGCAGGCGATCTATTCAGGTGAAGATGGTAGCATCCATAGAATGCCAACCGAAGGGTCCCAGGCAGTGGCGGTTTAGCATCTCAAGTGAATGACCACACGCAGGATGACCTCCACGTAGTAAATACTGTGGATGACCTGTCCGTCAACTCTTGCTCCCAATACCAACCACCCAACCTCTAATAACAACCAAGCAAAGGCGTCTTGTACCAGTCTCACGGCATTGCGACTGCCTTCTTCGAAGCACGGGGACGATGGATGAACTGTCCACTGACTCTTGTTCTCATATACACCCGCTCATCAAACTTCAGAAGCAAAGCAAGGCCTCTTTTTCTTTTTCCCTTTTTTTTTTTTTGAAATACTGAAACAGGTCCTTATGGTCCTGGCTCCTTGGGGAGCATCAATCCGGTTCCAATTGACCGGCAAAAAGCAAGGACGCCTTGGTCAGTGATGACGTGAAGAATTTCCGCGAGGCTTACCTGTAAGGACAGTAGACGCTTGCTCCCAGTCTCTTGCTCATCAGACCTCCGAAGGAACGCAAGGGGACTGATTCCTTGCTTAGGAACGACGTGCACACTTCGCGTGAAGTACCCATGAAGCAGGCTCCGAACAGCACGGCGATGCAATGGATGACATGCACAAAAAAAGTGCACTGACTCACTGAGTGGGCAGAACTTCCGCAGAACATCACCAACACTGGCAATCGGCAATGGCAGTGATGAGGCGTGAAATCATACGATACGTAATATATAGAATTAATAAGAGATGCAGTGGATTCTATTGAGCAGCTATTCAATAGATTGGTGCAGAGTCACCAGAGTGTTAATTACTATGGCTATGGATGCCGGTCAAAGACCAAGCCCGGCTATGGCTATCGTTATGGCTATGGCTCTGGTGATGAGGGATCTGTCCATGGCATGCACACTAAATCCCAAACCAGCAAAGCTATATTTAGCCCTTGGCACTGCTGGCAGACCCCCCCCCCCCCCCTTCCCCCCCCACTGGGGAAGCACACCTACATGCGCTTCACTTTAACATGCAACCATACTCTGTACATAGTCAGATTCTGTGCCTGACTTGCAGTCGACGGTCAAATAAGTGTTGACTTCTCTTGCGAACAGGAAGAAGAGAGGCATTGGAGAAAAAACATGCTTCCTGCGATTGTGCCGCCAATAGTTGAGCAACGGGGAAAGGAAAGGATAACGCTACCCGTGCATGGAATATCCATGGCAAAGAAATCGTCTGCTATACGTCCCAACGATGATGTTAAAGTTCGGATAAAGCCTTCAACAGCATGCCTTGCAGGGTTAGGTTTAGGGTTACAGGGCGGCATACGGAGATCTTCCGACGATACCGGTTTCAGGCGGGGGTAACTTTGTCCTTTCCCCCTCCATGAACCAACTGACTGACAACCTGAGAGAAGGAAGGTCATGAGGGCAGAGGCCAGGAGGATTGCTGTCCCCCATGCATGAATGTACAATTTCCTAATTAGTATAACTGCAACATGTTAATGACATTAACAGCCTTAACCTCAGTTAAGATTCTTAACCTCAGTTGAAGTTCTTAACCTCAGTTAGGATTCTTGACCTCCGTTAATATTTTTAACCTCAGTTAAAATTCTTAACCTCGGTTAAGATTCTTTGACCTCGATTACTATTTTAAACCTGACTCAGTTAAGTTAATCTTCTTAACCACAGTTAACCTTCTTAACCTCAGTTAAGACTTCTTGACGCGGTTAATATTTTTAACCACCTGACTGACTAAGACTCTTAAACACAGTTAACAGTCTTAACCTCAGTTGAGATTCTTAACCTCAGTTAATATTCTTAACCGCAGTTAACCGTCTTAACCTCAGTTATTAAGACCTGGCAGTTAGAGCGTGGGTCTCCCGTTGGCTGCTGCGGAGGACACCCGACTCCTTATCTCTGATAAAGAACTGAGGCATGGAGGCCACTCTGGGCACATTATGCAACAACACATCGCTGGAGGGAATCCTGTTCATGCTGTCAAACTCTTCGTCGTCCTCGTCATCGTCATCGTCGCTGTCGACACCGATGATCTCACCGATTGCAGCGATCGAGTCCTCCTCTTCTCGAATCGAATCCATGGTGGCGGACTCCGTCATCGTCTCACTGGAATGGAGAAAGTCAAACATGAAGTCGTTGATATCGGTCAGGTGGGTTGCCGTGTCATTCGCGGGCGCAACCTGTCTTTGCAAACTGTGAGTTTCCCATAGCGAAGCTGAAAGTGCTGCATTAACTGAGCCTGGACCTGACTGCAGACCTGAGTGCGAAGCTGGACTCAACACTGAACCATCAGGAACAGAACAGCAAACTGAGCCAAGACCTGCCCCTGGAGGAATGGGACTTGGAACCGAACAAGAGATCGAACCTGGCATCGGAACCAGAAGTGAACCTGGAATGGAATTACGAAGAGAAACCGGAGCTGAACCTGGAAGTCGACCCAGAAGCGAACCACGAACTGAACCCATCGCTGCGGATGAGCTCTCCGTCAAGGCGCTTTTCCATAGAGAAGACGCCATATCCATCATCCCGCCGAGTCGTGCATGCTCCGACAGTGGCCCATGCTCCATAGCCTGTTCCAATTCTCCAGACATTGATGTCACTGGCAGGATCCTGCACCCAGACATACCCAACGTCTGGATGCTTGCATGTCTCTGTAAACTCTGCCCTGTTGGGCTGCCGGCATGACCCTCCAGTGCGCTTGCATGCCTTTGCAAATGCTGCACGTTCCGATTGCTAACAAAGCACTTGACGCTGTTGCCGCTGTCGACGCTGTCGGCGCTGTTAACGCTGTCGACGGCACTGTTCATCGTTATGTCATGATGACCACCCTCCATAACTTCCATGTCGGCGACGACGTGAGGTGGGTGCGAAAGATGTGGTTGAACTGGAAGGACGGGTGTCGAGTTGCGATCGTCGCCGCCCCTGAAGAGGGGGGTGCAGAAAACCTGCGGAGACGGCACAGGGTACATGTTGGCATGTTGTCGAGCAACGAACATGTCACAGGGGTGCGGTGCAAGAAATGAGGTTGTTTCCGCCCCCAACACCAGTTGCTGTGATCCTATCGGCTGATGAAGAGGAGGAGGATTGCTGGAGAAGGAACCACTTGAACATGCTGGCAAAGATGGTGGTGGCGAAGGTGAGTGATTGAACTGTTGATGAGGGCCGTTATGCGGTGGTGCAATAAGCGTTTCCAGCATCTCCGTGTCTGCAATGCGACTGCCTTCTTCCGCAAAAGGATGCTTCACTGCAGTGTACAGTCAGCATCCAAACAAAATGAGACAAAACACGATTATTGGACCGATACACAGAAGTTAGAGATCATTGGGAACATCCATTAAAATTGGACCCATGCACACAAGATTAGCATGGCCCCTGCACAAGGATTATTTATTTAAAAAAAGAAGAAAAAAAATAGGGTCTGTCCTTTGGGACATCCGTTAAAATTGGAACGATACAGAGAAGATTAGCATGGCCCCTGCGCAAGGATGACATGCATAAATCGAGAAATGTCTGAAATGGTCCACAAAAAAATTAAAAATAAAAAATAAAAAATGATTAGGGTCTCACAGCCGATGCAATGCACAGTCAACGGCATAACAAAGAAGGATGTGTGAGGATTGAGCCCTCAAGTAGGGGCCTTGCCATGATGTACATGTTCTGGGCTAAGGCCCCAGCAAGCCTCGTGCCCGCCCTAAGTGAAGGCGGGCCAGCAAATCAACAAGAGCTCTCTGTGCCAACATTTCACGAAGTGGGGTCCATACAGTTGTAGCACRCCAGTTGGYTGGAGTGCACCGAGTCTCGGATTTCAGCAAATGCTGAAATGTCCAGGGYCTCTGAGTTAGTTAGGCCCTGGGCACTCGAATGTGAGGCCGACAATGCATGCTGGGTATAGAGGCCGAAAATGCCAAAGGGAAATCGGCCCACTGTCTGAATCTGRCCGCAGGCCTTGATGAAGGAGSCGCAACKGCATTGCCCCRGGGCCCAACTGTATCAGGCTGGGTTCAGCCTCTGGGTCCCGGTCACAKGCTGAAGGGAGGCCGCCCACACGCTGCACTGGCATATAGGCAAGCAGGGCGAGTGGGCAGGGATCTTGGCCATTGCGGGCAATGCCGGCACGCTGCGCAAATGCGAGCTGCTGCTGCTGCTGCGCTGCGCTAAGAGAGGTGCAAGGCAGGCCAGCGCTAGGCGGTAGGGTGCTGCCTGCGCACCAGGGCACTGGCGGCCATAGCCGGGCCCCATGAGGGTGTAGTGAGGGTGAAGGGCGAAGGTGGTCTTCGGAGGTGAAGGGCGCTGTATGGGTAACAGGGAAGAGTGTGGGTAAAGAGGACACGTCCCTGGTGAAGGTGGAGGTCGGCATTGGTGTTGACATCATCACTCGCTGGTAGTCAAGTTGTCTGGTTGCTGTTCATTGCTGTTGTTGTAGGATAGGCTGTAGAGTAGATAGGGCGCCTGGCGCCATTCACAAGAGAGAGCTACATTTGGGTTATGCTGTTGGTGTTGCTCTGTTGGGCATGGACATTGACTCACGATTCTTCTGTATCTCTCAATTGGATGGTTACTCGGTTCCATTGTACTATCTGCTTTGGCTTTGACTACTTGGACTTCAGTGTGATATTGCATTCTGGATTTCTGTGCTTCGTCCATAGTAGACTCATACTCATGTTCCTTGCAATTTGGTATCGGAGCAGATTTGATCGCCACTTACCTTCGGCATGCTGGCGTTATACAGACTTGGTGCGTTGACGATGCTTCTTCGCAGTGGGTACTTGTGACGTCAGGCCACGTTAGGTGCACGCCCTGGGTAGAGAGGGGTGCACCGGAAGGCTATTACGGCAGTGTATGCCGTGGGATACAGCGGAATGTTTGATTGATGATGAGAGTATGCTGATGTGGCATTGGACTAAGGTGGCACTGCATTGCGTTGTGRGTGGTACCGAGGTCATGACYGGTCATCAAATGCAACATCAGCTCAATTGGTGAGAAAATCTGTGGTTGGGGGCAGCTATCTCCAGGTATGTTGATCCCTTACCTTATCTACCTTCTCAATCTCTTCTTACCGTGAGGAAGTGAGTCCAACTTGAGAGTCCTCTCCTTGATGAGGTGTCGTGAGCGCGCTACCTTGAGAGACGACAATCTTCCCGGAAGCATCTGGAAGGAGAAAGGGCGGTGCCTCTGAAGGGCGAAGCACTGGGTCACGGTCACCATGCCAACCCACAGGGAGTAGTGCACGCATGCGATGGCTGCTGTCCTGTTGGCACTTGCTGCGCTCAGATAGAAGTCTTGCCAGGTGTGCCAGCCTTGTATGAGACGCTTACCAGACCGTCTATAAACATTTCTGGTTGGGTACTCGGTATGATTCTGGCTGTGATCGTCGTCCTGACTGCAACGTGGGTAAATAAGAGTGGGCCGGCTGGCTTACTTGGCTCTGACTTGGGCACAGGGGTGGGCCGTTACACACACGAAAACACTGCTTTGCTCAAGATGCTGTTCGGTATGTTGGATTGAGGGGAGGGTAGGTTCCAATTGGAGCTCAACTGTGTACACAACTATACCCA